AATTAGAAGTAAAGGGCTGGCTGCCAGTGTTCCAAAACTAATACCAAACATGCCCACTGCAAACACCCTCTCCACAAATGCTCTGATTCACAGTAGACATTTCAGAAATCCTCGTTTTTGAAGACCAAGGGAAGCAAGCGACGAAGAGTTCAGGATCTTTCAGCAACAGTGGGGAATTAATTCCTCACACTTAGATCCCAAATGTCTGTAGTTTAACCACTCTACACTGGTAGCTCAGTTAAACAAAATGAGCAGTCATTTTAAAGTGCAAAATTACCATCAGTTCCATTTTCAATAATCATGAAATGAACAAATCATAAAGCTGAATAACATAGATGATCCTGTGGAGTATATGGCCTGAAGCAGAAGATGCCTTCCAACGACAGGAGACATACTCAATATTCCAGCAGGTTTTTCCCTACATTTCTACAGAAAACACAGGAGGTTCTTGCTAAATCACCCCCAAGGTGATAAATTGTACCTTTTCTTGCTGGTCTCACTACAGGACAGAAGTAAACAAGGCTATAGTTATCATCATTCAGTTTTCTTGTTTGTTAAAGTTTTTAGCCATTAGCAAGAGACTGATTGGAGATTCTGGAGTCCTCTGCCAAGCCAAAGCATGTACCCTCAGCTCTCTGGAAAAACATTTCCCAAAGGGATAGACCAAAAGCTCCCCAAGCCTCCTTGGCTAACTGCAGCAGCCTTTAGAGCCCCACAGCCAACAAATGCTTCTCACACAGCCACTGGCCCAAATCCACACACATTAATCTATGACTTTTCATATCCTTCCAGATGCCTCAGCATTCACAAAAGCAACAATTCTACCTGGCCCCACCCCTAGTTATAAACCCCAAACTTGAAGCAGCTGCACTGTTCTGCCACTGATTAGACCATCACTGTTCTGGCAATGAATATTGTGTATTGAAGAAGATTTTTGTTTCACATAAATTAAAATGTTAACAGAACAGCTTTAATAACCTGGGCATTTATATTCACCTATTGCCCAGGAGTAGCTGGGGATCTATACTTTACATCTGCACAAGGATATGCCCAAAGCAAAATTTGTTGCACTAGCTCCAGTTGACAGTGCTTTCCTCACTCTTTTTGGTATATCTGGAGGAAAGACAAACAGAGTGGGTTTTTTTTTTTTGTCTATGTTCACATCCTTTTGTCTCCACCAGCTGTTAAGTACAAGGATAGGAAGGAGGGAACAAAATCTGCAGCCTAGGGGTAGGTAGGCAAACTCCTGTTGCCAACTCAATCTCCTCCCTTCAAGGGTCCAGTTTTTGCAAAACTGCAGGACTATGGCTGAGCCACGAAAGAACAGCAGTCTCTGGCATGTTCGCTTAAAGGAACAGGCAAATGAGAAGAAAAGAGGCATGAGGAGGCTGTAGAGATGGAATACACATATACATAAAGGTGAGGCTGCATCTACGTGAGAGGAAAAACAGGCAGAAAGGTCTAATGCAGGCAAAATGGACTGATAGAGAGAATACAGGTACCCCACAAGAGAAAATAACAACAACAACAAAAGACATTATTAGGATGATTAGAGGAAAGAAACTAATGGAAAGACCAAATAAAAATGAAAAAATAGAACATAAATAAGGTCAGCCTAATGTTTCTGTAACATGGCTGTTTCAATATCATAATGCTTATTTAAACTAGTAATTTAACCTGTAAGCTGGTGAGAGGTTTTCATATTATTTTGCTTTTCTTCGTAGCTGTAATGCTGATAAATGCTGTCTTTTCTTCTTTCAATTTCTTTGTCAAATAAGAACTGGTTCTGTGGTTTGCACGAAAAGTCCATCTGGCCCAGCACATTCCTTTGAAGAGCAGACACAACAGGATACTTCACAAAGACATTCCTGCCCTTTGATTTCAGTTGAACTCAAGGAGTTGTTCCCGAATGGGAGAACCACCCCTTGTTAACTATGCTGCCATTTTGTAACTAGAGTGTTAAAAGCTTACACAAATGCAAATAACACTGTATCAACAACTCATCCACTTCCCCCTCACTTACCTCTCTTTGGAGAAAGCACCGTGGAGAAAGTAGTTATTTCTTCCTGCAAAACATGTTTTGTCAATCTTTTGATCTCAGGCCTCTAAGGAATATATTGAAACATAATAATTACAAATTATATGACTTTAGGAGAGGCTGTAGTAGTCCTTGCCCTAGTTTCAAAGTAGCTTGCTCAACTGTAAGCCAACTGCACTACTATTCTGTAAAGCCACAAGCTAGGTGGCAAAATTGTGGTCTTTACTCAATTAATTTTATCTAGAAATTTAATGCCATCGAATATGTAGTTGATGCTACTATAGAATATCTAATTGTATGTTTTAAAGAATGAATTATCTTTACTAACAAATCTAAACACAGTGTTTCTATCCCTAGAATAATCAAATTCTTTTTATAAAGCCTGTACTAAAACTGAAAAGCATAGGTAATTTCCGAATAATTCCTAAAAGATGTTTGCATTGTTTCATTAAACAAATGCCCTAAAATATACAGCTTATAATTGCATGATTAAATTCATATTCACTATAAATCACAACAAATATTTTTAATTGTGCATTAATTGGAATTTTAAAATGCTGATATAGTGTCATTTATCTGCTTCTCATGTTCAGCAGTTTCTAACAGCCGAACACTGGTTTGAAAGTGAGAGAGGCACAGTTGGGTCCATCCTTCCACTGCAGAGCATTGCTTTGCTCTGGCAGCTTCAACCACTGTACCACTGCTTCTTATCCTTATCCTGTTATAAAATAGGGAATATAGAACCCATTGTTATTCTTGGAGGCATAGGCCAAGGGCTCTTGTTGAACTATTCTGTAAAAAGAAGGAAGTGTTGCACATGTCCATGCCCAAGACAGGAAAGGTGGTGCTCAAAAGTCAAGAACAATTGTGTAGAGCTGGACAATTTCCATAGAGTGATTTTATGGAAGAAACTGTTTTTAAGTAGTTGTTTGCTGCTTTAAATGTGTCTTTTTCATTGATTCCTATCACCATGTGGTTTCATAAAGCACAAATACCCTCAAGAAATGAGCACCATCTGTGTTTAATGTCAAACCTTTTAACTCACCTTCGTCTCAGACATCTTTTTTCCAAGCTTTTAAAGTTCTATTGTATTCTTTAGCAAGGAATACTCCATGTGTTCTGCAATATGAACCATGTTTATACTCTTCTAATCAATGAATGGGCAATACTCATTACTGCAGCCATTGGAACAACTAGAATGATCTAGGCTGCATTGTAACATTAAAGAGATTTACAACTCTTGCACAATGCTCTCGTACATTGTTTTTAGTTTGCTTCTGGAATTGAATAAAATCTGATTAGCTAACTGTAATCTAGAGAAATATAAATTTACCCTGTTTTACAAAGCTTGACAAAAAAATAACCTTCCAATCCATCTAAAACAATTTGAACAAGTAATTCTTTAAATGTCATTTGCAGTGAAGTGTATTGGAATGATGTCTTAAAATTATAAGGAATTAAAAACTGACTCTTTTTCTTGTGCCTGTGGAATCACTGCTGAACAAGTGCACTGAAAAGCTCTTTTGGAGCAGGGAACCATGTTTTGCTTGGTCTGCATGTAACGTAAGCTCAATGCAGTCTCTTAGCTAGCTCCTGGACATCAGCAAATTGCAAATAATAAAAAAGCTATATTAGACCATTGCACCAAGTGGCAGCTTAGTTCTTAATCTGTGAACTAAAAAAAAAATACAACCCAAATGCAGGGTTGCATAATACTGGGCCTGATGCAGTATGTACTTACAGAACAGGACTGGCTCGGTATTAGTAAAAGTCAATTTGTTAGATATTTGCTGTGAGCACAGTGTTGCACAATATGTGCAATAAATTACTACGTGCATGCATGATCATATTCCGATCACAGAACAAATGCCTGTGTTCTCTATTGCACATTCTCAAGTGTAAATCATCAGGTTTCCAAAACTTCTTTGAAGAATTTTTTTTCCCCTCGTGATGTTGAATCAAGTTCAGTCACCTCAGACACTAAGCCTGAAGGTGAAATACACGAGGTATGAGTCCCATCTTGTTTGTGAATGTTTGCACAGCCAACGTTTGAAGCCATACCCAATCCATTGGCTTAGAATTTCAAATTCGTGTGACTGCAGCACCCCGAGGAGAGCGCTGAGGGACGAGCGCCGCTCACCCGCCCCGGCCCGGCCCTCCCGCCACTGCCCTCTGCCCCCAGGGAGCGTCCGTGAGGGACAGGGCCTGAGGAGTGATCCCAGAGAACTTTCAAAAAACCTGCACCAGGAATAGTGTGGCCAGCAGGGCCGGGAAATGATTGTCCTGTACTTGGCGCTGGTGAGGGCACAACTCCGGTGCAGTTCTGGAGCCCTCAGTTCAGGAAGGACATTGAGGTGCTGGAGAGTGTCCAGAGAAAGGCAACGAAGCTTGGGAAAGGTCTGAAGCACAACTCCTATGAGGAGCAGATGAGGGGACTCAGCCTAGAGAAAAGTAGGCTCAGGGGGGACATTATTGCTCTACAAGTACCTGAAAGGAGGTTGTAGGGGTAGGGATCGAACTCTTCTCCCATACAGCCAGCGACAGGACGCGAGTACACAGTCTTAAACTGCGCCAGTAGAGGCTTAGCTTGGACGCAGGAGGAAATTCTTTGCAGAAAGGATGATTAGGCATTGGAATGGGCTGACCAGGGAGGTCCTGGAGTCACCATCCCTGGAGGTGTTTAAGGACAGGCTGGACGTGGCCCTTAGTGCCATGGTCTGGTTGACACGGTGATATTCGGTCATAGGTTGGACTCAATTATCTCAGAGTTCTGCAACCTCAGTGGTTCAGCAACCCCGTCCCGGGGGCAGCCGGGACCGGCTCCCCTCTGCCTCGCTCTCTGAGGGCGCGAGTGCCCGGATGTGCCGCCCCGCCTCCCGCACGTGCGCGGCGCCAGCGCGCCCGGCTCCCCCGCCCCCGCCCGCGGGCCAACCGCCCGGGGAGGGCGGTCCCGGCGCAGAGCTCGCGAGAGGAACATGGCCGCGGCGGGCCGGGGTGAGCGGGGCAGAGCGGGCGGGGGGCGCGGGGCGCGCACGGCCGGGCGCTGCCTCACGGGTCCGCGCCTCACGGGGAGGCCGCGCTGCCGCGCGCTGGAACCGGCCGGGCCGGGCCAGGCTGAGCCGCTGAGCGGGAGCGGCACCGCCGGCAGCCGTAGCCGCCCGGCCCCGGGGTGGGCTGCGCGCCGCCCCGCCCGCGGAACCTTCTGAAGGAGGTTGAGGCGGGCCGGAGTGCCGAGAGCGGCGGCCGCCCCCTCTCTGCCGGAGGCGGGCAGGGTCCCCGCGAGGCCGCAGCCGGGGACACGGGAGGGGCGGCCCCCAGCCCCGCCGGGCCGCTCTGGGCCCCGAGCAGGTGGAGGCGCCGGGTGCCCGCACCGCGCCCTGGAACGCGGCTCGCAGCGGCCCGGCCGCTGGTGGATGTGTCCTGTGTTATTATTTGCTAGTGAGGAACACTCGTTGCCGGGGGAGGTGCGGGGCTGTGGGCTGCAGGGCGGCGCTGCGGGCCCGGACCGAACCCTGCGGGCGTTGAGGTGGGAGCGCCTCGCCCGGGAGACCTCGGCCCTCCCTGACCCCAATGGTGCAGCTGCAGCGGAGGTCACTGGGCTGTGAGAAGAGCTGCCACCCTTAGATCAGGGGCTGGTATGAGCTCGGCTCATTTTCTGCGACATGCGTGGATTTAGATGGCATTTGGTTAATCCATTTTGGCGTGGTCTGGCACTGGAATAGGTTGCTCGAGAAGGTGGAGTCACCATCCATAAGGCGTTTAAAAGACTGGATGTGGCGCTGGGTGATGGGGTTTAGAGGTTTCAGTGGCAGTGCTTGTGTGATGGTTGGACTGGACGATATCAAAGGTCTCTTCCAAGCCTGATGATTCCATGATTCCGGAATCAGCTTTGTTAACAAGTCTGTTTACATCACCTGCATGCACAGATCCACATCGCGGGTGCAGGTCACTTGGCTGACACTTGCGGCAGTGACAATCTTTGGGACGCGGGGAGCCAGGTGGAGAGCTGTGCTGCCGTGCCGTGCCTTTCTGCCAGCAAATACATTTGTCTTTGTTCCATTTATGTGGTTTTTGTATTGGTGTGCAAGTGTGCAGTGCAGAAAACTGCCATTAGTCAGTCTGCCTCACACAATTAGCTGAAATAAAGACTACAGGATTTAACGTGAATAACTTGTTTAGTTATGAAGTAAATATCAGGAAAATTATCTTTTTGTGAATGTTTTTGAAAACATCTCCATGAAATCTGGTATGTCAATATGTCTAAAATACTTAAAACTTAAGCATCACTCACCTTTTAAGAAAAAAAGCCAAGCTTACACTGTCCTGTGAATACAGCATATTCTGGAATTCTTGTTTATGGGAAGGTGTTCACACTTCTTCCTCACACTCCATCTTTTCCTTTAAGAGAAAAAATGCCCAAGTTTTGAATTAATTGAGGTTTTAAGGCTCTCAACAAAGGCACAGCTGGCATTTCATAAAATTATTCTCTTAATATGTGACACTTTATATTGTTCCTTCTTAAAGTTTTCTCTACTGTGTAATTGCTTAGGGCAGATGTGACTTTGTGGTATAACTTGCATTTAACACTTGACATGATTGCTGTCTGGTGATGACACCAGTTATTAAGCAAATAAAAACATCTGGAAGCTGAAGATCCTTAGTACATTATTGGGAGTGCAGAATATCTTTCAGGATTTGGCAGGATTTGGAGAAGTGTAAGAAACTGAACTTAATGGTGCAAATGAGTTTTTAGAAGCAGTCATGCAATAACATGGAAATCACCTCAATAATTACCTTTTCTATTTGTCACATTCTGTTGAATGAGGTATTATAAACCAGCTTTAATAGTAAGGGTTAATACACAGATATTCAGACAAATTTAGTGGTTTATATTCATAAAATACTTTAAAAATTGGAACTTTTACTTGTTAGTCTAGCAATGGAATTAGATAATTGATGACACAATCGATTAATGTAATATTGGATAGGGAATATACTTAGTTGAGGTTTGGGGTTTTTTAAACAGATTTTAAATTACTGATGAAATTATTATTGGGAAGAACAGAGAATATATTTTATCATAGGCCATTTATTTTTGTGGGCCTTTTTGGCATTTCTGTCTTTTAACCTCTTCCCCTTGTGTGTTTTGCTTTGGTTTTTTACATGTTCTGCTTTTAACCTCTGTTGTTGATATGTACAGAAACCATAACATCAGCTTCAGCCTTTAAAAGAATTAAAATATCTGTTAGGATTAGTCTCTGGTATCAAAAGTAAAATTTTGTGGCTGAGCAATGTCAGGGATGTTTTAAGTCTGATACCTGTGTGTGGGTTCAAAGCCAAAACTGGAAAGCCCCATTAGTGTTACTGTATGAAACAGCATTTGATAAATGCCAGATTTTAAAATGACTGATATTTTAAACTTTTCTAAATACAGTATGCTGGAGGTTTCTATTGACTTAGTCATATGTGTCTGTCTATATATATATGTACTCACATATTCTAAAATATTCTAATAAATGACACGTTGATGTGGCAGAAAGTCCATTTGAGTTGGTGACATAGCAAAAAGACAAAATGTGGATGTGAAGAGTTTAATTTTATTTTTTTTGGTAAACATTCCATTGTATTGGAATCTATAGAAAACTGAAATATATTTCTGTTGTACAATTGGCACTTTGAAGTATGAAGACTTGAAGGAACTAGGGCTGGGTTTGTGTATTGCAGTTGAGTTAAAAGGAGCAGATGATGCACCTCTGGTACTGCTCTTCTTGCCAGAGGTAATTGGAAAGACAAATATCATCTTAGAATTTGGGTAGGAATATGAAAGGTGCTAAAAGATGCACACAGAGTATATTTAAATCACTTTACTCTCAGGATTTTAACCTAATGACACATTTTAACATCTGAAAACTGCAGAAACTGAGAAAGCTGAACTAGTATTCTTAAGGTTGTAATTTCTCAGAACAAAATATGTAACTTTTAAAATAAAGAATCCTTGAGACATCTTTGTGATTTTTGTTTTTCCTTTTTATTTTCCAACCAATCAGGAATGTGGTGAAACAGACACTTTAGGAGGGTGCTAGAGATATAAGGTAAGTGCTGTATCTTAAAAAAAATTAAACATTTTAAATAAGTTATTTTAATAAAGTTGCTGTGCTTTTTTTTAGTAAGCAGTGTATCCCTTTAAGTTGTGCTGGTTTTATAATCCTGTTAAAATGGAAGGTTTTCCAGGAGATCTGTTCCTATACAAACAGAAATTTGGTTATATGTAGTACTTGTATTACATAAACTTAAGAGCAAGTTATTGTGATTTTATGCTTTGACTTTTGATATGAGTGGGTTTTAATCACCTCTTTAGATTGTGACTTAAATACTCATGTGCTGATTAAACAATATTTTCTCTTTTTAAAGGACTGCCATGCTTGCAAGCCTTCACAGATGTTAGATGTTTTCCAAATGTGAATAGTTTTGATATTAAAACTTGGGTCTGTAGAGCATTTTGTTTATTTTTAACAGTTCTTCTGCAGTGACTCAGGCTTGTACCAGCACAGCACCTCCAGAGAGACTCTAGACTCCATGTGGTTTGGTTAAATCAATCCAGTTATAGATGAGGAAAATTCTCTCTCAAAGGGAGTAGCTAAGGGTGTTTAATGGCTGCTGATAGTGCTGTTTCAGGAGGTGTTAAGAAGGGAAGTCAAGCAACGTAGTAAAACAAGGAAGTTGGGTTATATTGACTAACACATTTTCAGTTCTGGAACTGTGTGCTTCTGGTGTTCAGCTGGTCCCTAAATGGTGAAAATTCTGATCCTGCCCTTCCCTCCTCATCTTCTGTGTGGGAAAAAGAGGGTGGGACAGGTTGCCTGATTTTCAGGATTACCAAGACTGAGTATCAAACTTAAAGCCTCTTGATAGTTTCTATTGAGGCCTCCTAGATGAACCAGAGCATTGGTTCCACCTCTGCAGAAAAAGCAGACACTGCACAGGACTCATGGCTAAGAGCTGCTCCAGAGACTGGAAGAACAAGATGTACAGAACTGGATATGCACAGAAGGGGGTATGTATCTGTAACATTGATGTATTCCAACAATTCCCAGAACTGTGTTAGGCAAAAAGTCCCAGCTAGAAACACTTAAAGGCAGGGGAGCTTCCCCTCACCTGAAGGCAAGGTGTGTTCAGGCTTGTGTGCAGGCTCTGTGAAGAGCAGGTTGGATTAGACTTGGCAGACCAGTTCATTTTGTGTCCTTTAGTAAATCTGCAACCATTGATTCTTACTGTGAATAAATCTGCTGCATGTCCAAAAAAAGAGATAAACAACTGAAATTAAGGCTGTTTGTACTTGACAGCCATGAATGTTTCATGTTTGCTTCTTCAAATGAAATTTTTCCATGCTGTGCTGAGGACAGGGAACCAGTATTCCTGGCATTGTTTTTAAACCTTTTTAGCACCTGAAGTTCAAGAGCCAAAACTGCCCAGTGTTAGTTACAGTATATAACTTTTTTCAAAAGTTCCTTCTGTGGCAAAGATTGATATCTACCACAAAAATCTTCCATATCCTGAAACTCCAAAGCAAATGCACATTACAGAATTTATTCAAGTGTTCAGATTACTGTTATTAAATCCAGATGTTAATGTAACAGTTTTGCACTTGTGCAATAAACTGGATCTCTGTGATTGTTGACTCAGTAGAGAGTATTTTAAGATTTCATATTTGGTACTTGGCTTAAGCCATTAATTAAATGTTTGAAAAGGGGCTTTTACCTAGGCATGGTGCCAAAAGCAACAGAGGGAGAGAGCAGTCCTAGTTACACTCAATTTTGATCTTCACATCAACTAGTGAAACACTAATTAACAAAAAATAAAGACAAAAAGGAAACCCACTGGCTTTCCACCCTTCTAAGTGAATTTATGACATAGGTAGTCCTAGTTACATACCTGAGAAGGATATGCAGTTGTGTTCTTATTTCCACATTTTGTGTCTAATGCTAGAAGCCTGCTGGAAGGCTAGGGAACCGTTGCTGAAAACTTGTTTACAAATTCTAGAGACATTAAAATTAATTTCTTAGTCATTCTTTAAATGCAAAAGAGGTAGCTCATAAAAATTCAGCAGAGAAACTCGTTAAAATGAGTTCAAATTATTAGTGTATTCAGTAAAGTCCAGTTAATACCCCAAAATAGTTCTTACATCTCATGTAGAGGCAAATTTCCCAATATTTCCTATGCAAAAACAGTAGAAGAGACACAGAATTCCAGATACTGAAATTCTGTTTAGTTCCATTGCTGCAATGTTTAATTTTGTTCCCTGTATTTTTAAAATTTAAAACGCGTAGCTTGGTAAAGTTGCAATCCAGCAAAGCTTTAAGCACGTGTTTCTGACACTAAATGAGTTGCACAAAGTTGAACACAAGCTTAAAACTTTTCATGATTTATAACCACATGTTAGTAAGGCTTTAGGGAAGTAATGCTGTGACACAGGCAGAGCAGTGTGAGTGTGTCTGTGGTGGCTGTCTCATCCTTACACTGCTAAGTTCTGTGTGCAGGTGCTCTCCTGCTCCATTGGCAGGGGTTTGGTGTAAGTTGGGAATTAGGGGTTTGTACTTAGGTATTATCTGAGAGAACACCTGATGTCACCCTTAATCTCCATTGTGTTTTAAAATGCTCCCAAAGTGTGTTACCAGTCTGTTTGTTCACTGTGCATTGGCCATCTGGGCACATTCCCTTGTACATGAGTGACTGGAAGAGTGAAAACAGAGGAGTGTTTGTACTTTTATGATCTTCCCTTGGTGCCCTGGCAGGTGAGAGTCTCAGGATTGGTGTATTCTGAGAGTGAAGCCTGCTGAATATACTGAGATGGCCACACAGAATCTAGTGGGGATCTCCCACTAGTTCGTTATGGTTGGCCTGAATTGTACCATTTGTGTGCTATTTTAGGAGTTTTTGAACGGACTAATAAATCTCTCTGAACTATTTTTGAGTGTGTTTTTTTTATTATATATCACTTGATACATTTTTTTTTTTTAGGATTTCATCTTTAAAAATAAAATTATATTTTTCCACGGAAAGTACAACTAAGACAGGTACCCAAAAAGAAAAGCCGTAATGTTTTGCTAATGTTTTTCAGTATGTAATTTGTACTCTTTGTACAGCTACTCTTTATAAATATGCTTAGTATATTTATAAGGTTTTTGTTAAAGACCTGTAACCTGTGTGTATTAGGAATTTATAGAAACAACTGGAAACTCACTATTTTCTATTTAACGTTTTCAATACTAATTTCATTTGAAGTGTCTGGACTGCAGAAGGTTTTTAGTACCCAGTTTATGAGGGTAGAGCTCACAGTGTTTCTAGTAAATACTTCAGAGAAGTTACTGCTTTATTTTGCTGTCTTTATTATCTCTGAATTTGTATGGGATAATGATAGTAATGCTTCTTTATGTTAATGTCGACTAATACAGCAGCACTCTAATACAAAGTACTGAGGAAATACTGTCAGTTCTTGCTAAATATAAACTATCTTTATGGTTATGGCAATTGTAAGTCTTCCAATGTGAATCAAGCCCTGAATAATCCTCTCTATATCTGTAGACAGTGTTAACCAACTTACTTTGCTTCTGTGAATAACAGAGTGTAATATGTGATTTCTTCTGGAATGAGATCCTCCCTCCTCTGCCAGATGTTCCACCCTTCCTCTGTTCTGCCAGTTAAACCATTTGATGACTCTTTTACCAGGTCCTGTATCAGAATCCTAATTTAAAAAACCTATCATGCAGAACTGGTAAAAGAGAAAAGTGGAGTCTCTTGGAAAGGGTGAAATGCAGGTGGTGAGAACTTGCTCTCCCCATAGTTCATCTTTGCTGACCTGGGAACGCTGCAGGCAGGAGCACAGGGAATGTGGAGCCAGCCCAGCTGTCCAACATGGGGGATGGGTAAAACACTGCCACTGCTTCCCTTTGCTGCAGAGTGAACCACACTCACAGGAGACCATTGGGCACAGTTCTGCACCTTCTGTTCCTCAAATACCTGGGGCACTTGGGGCCTGGAGGTGGTGCAGAAGAGAATTCTGTAGCTCTCCCATCTGCCTGTGGGCTCCTGGCATCAGCAGTAGACTTTGCAAAGCCTAGGCCAAGCCTTGGGCTGGCTGGCTGAGGAACACGAGCAAGAGAAGGTTGTGGAGGAATGATGGTGTACAGAGCATTTTTAATGGGTAAAGCTGAGTTGAGGTGATTTAGTGATATATGGAGGATAGAAAATGTAGAGAATTCAGAAATAGAAATCAGGAAAGTGGATATTGAAGTGATCTGGGGAAAAAATTACTATTGTCTGACACTGGAAAAAAAACCAATGAAAATAAACCAAGAGAAAAATCTCCTTGGCTACAGTATTTATATCTGACCGGATTATATTAATGAATATCTTGTTTTCCTCACATAATCAGTATTTTCCAACAGTTTCTAATAAAGCTTTGTAACATCTTTTTAAAATATTTTGAGTGCTGCTCAAACTATAAGAACTATAGAAAGTAGATGTGTGACAGCTTCTAAGTGCAGAAATTTGTAATCTACTGTAAACAATTTTTTGTTACCATCTATTTCTTATTTATTTTTTAAAAAGCAGCTTTGTATGGAATGAAATATTGGAACACAATAGTTTAACAGATAAGATTTCTTTGAAACTGGCCTTAGGCAACATAAACTCTCCTGACCCAGAGTTTCTGCCCTATTAGTCTTTGGCTAATTTCAGTAGGGAAAATGGAATTCAAGTTCATTTTAGCTTTGGATATCGTGAGAAATTGGTTCTTAAAGCACTGAGGGCATGAACTGTGGATTATAGCATTAAAGTGTTTAGAACATCAGAGTTTTCAGGCACCATACTGATAACAGACTTTTTCTGATTATTTTAGAATATGGGTGTTGATCTGGCGATTAAGCTACATCAGTTATTATCTTGGATCTGTATTTATAAAGAAGCAATAAGTGATATTCCTTCCTCTAGTCTTACCCTGTTCCTCGTTAGAAGAAATGTGTTTGATTTGAAAAGTAAAAATTTGGTTTTTGTTTAGTGAAGAGTGTCATTTTATCTTTAACAAATTATTTATTATGCTGTTAGTCATAATACTATGTGTGTGGTATATCTTCATGCTTGATTTCCAGTGTTTAGGAGTCTCAGGGCTGGGATTTTTCTTCCTGGAAGTCTCCTTAACTGCATGGAATTCAGCATTCTTTCAGTCTGCATCCTTGTTGTTTCTGTTTAAACAAAAGAACCACTTTAATTCTTGGGAAGATGCTGTAAGGTGTAAATCTAGTACAAGTGATATAATTGCATTCAGGTTGTGACCTTTTGTCACTGCAGAATAAAAAATGAGGCCACGGTACACAATGTGGAATTAGAAGTAAGAAAAAAAAGAATATTGTAAATGAGCTCTAAGCACTTGGTGTAAATCAGGTAAAGAATGCACAGTAAATAGCAGTTGCTTAAGATATACTGCAAGTTGATTTTTATATTTTTTAAATTAAACATTAATCTGTCACCTTCTAAGTTTTCCTTTTGTCCACTAGCAGATTAAATACTAAAAGTTTCATTTTCAGGAGTTGAGAGCAACAAGTTGACTGGTTTCCATGGGAGCTAATTCAAGTTACTGTTTGCATTGTTAATACCTCAAAGTAGGTCCAAGTCAATATGCAGCAAATGGTTTGTGGGAGAGATTTTCTTAGCAATCCTAAGGTTGTGAGTAGGGACTGCTTAACTGAGGACCTTCTACACATGTCACTGAATTTCAGCTCAGACATAATCATTCTGATTTTTGCAACATTGCCTAAACTGAAGTTGCTCGTAATGTCTAATTATGCTTACATTATTTTGAATTAATACCTAATTAGCACTTAGTTTCTTGCTGAATGTAGAAAGTATGTTAAATTCTGTCCAATAGAAGTTGATTGTATTTTTTAAGAGAACACCATATATTTTAATAATCAAACTGCTAATCTCTGTAAAGTGTGTAGCTATAAAAAGAAGCAAAGTATAGATTTTTTCAAGAAATCTCATCTACTAGAAATGATTGTGCAATGTTCAGTCCCACTTCTGATAGGAGGTAGAAAGCAGCACGTTCAATGGGAAGCAGTTCCTTCCTCTTTGCTTTGAATTCTTGTGCTTTCCTTGCTTTGTTCAATTCAAGGGCTTGGTTTACAGGCAGTAAAATAAACAGAACAGCACCTGCAGCTTAGTCATAAATGGGAACATCTCACAGTATCCAAGCAAACAAATGAAATCATGGAGTCATCTAACCTTTCCTGAAATGCCTTAATAGCTTTACCAACATTCATTTTCAAGTTGCACCACTATTTTGGCTATCAAAGGTCTCTGAAGACATAGAGGAATTGGGAAAGATTATGATCCAATTCATTGATAAAAGTTACTAATTACTGTCTGAGCTATCAAGTGCATTTATAATACCAAAATGAATACTTGGGTTTTGATTTTATCCTGTGTTGGCAACTTCAGTTACATAAATTGATTCTTCTGGCTACACCTTATGTTTGCTGGCCACAGAAACTCATGGAGCACATGGGATCTTATCAATTCCTTCCACAAAGTTCTGTCATAGACCAGAAGAACTGAGCTTGTTTTTGGGCAGGTTAATGAGTTGATCTCGCAATTACTCAAACACTACTGCAAAGCACTTCATATTAAGACTGAAGTTAAGAACTTTGGAATTTTTGTTAATTGGAATTCAAATAAGTTGCTTCTAAAGTCATAACGTCACTGATTCATTGTAAAAAGAATAAATATGTAGACATTTATGAGGGTGAGAAACGAGCAGCATCCTTTGTTTGCACACCACACTAATGCAGATAGCTTTTTTATTGGTTGGTTTCTTTGCCTTGCTAAATTTAGGTGTAAAATTGACCTTGTCTTGCTTTGTAAACTCAGCCTAAAAGTATTTGTTGCCAATGTTAATGTCTGCTTTTTAAATTAGAGTATTAAAGCAGATGTAGAATATTGACGATCAGCATCGTCTTCACAGACTGAAAAAGAGGAATGTCATGTTTAGATTTTTCTGACCATTTGCATACAACGTATTTCTATATACAGTAACATCTAAACAAGATACTACTTCATGTTTTGCCTATCTAGTTTTAAGTATTTTTATGAAGTTCTTTATTTTAATAGAGCTAGTGAGGGTATGTGCTATGACAGCTTTCTATTTATTTAATCAAGTGGAACCAGCTGAACCACTTAACATGGCCTTAAGAGGAGCATTGTTTATTAAGAATTTTCCACAGAAAATATGAGATTAAATCAAATTATGTCTGTTTACATGGTGATTAAAAAGTTGTTGAGGACTCTGCCTGAAGTCCTTCATTTACAACAAGTTATGGGACAACGTTTTCTACACTTCAGGTATTGTGGTCAGAATTGTGGTTACTGCTGAGTGCTCAGGCAGCAGTGGTGAGGGAAGATGGACTTAGCTGTGGATGAAGTAAATCATCACCCTCTCATGATTCAGAGTTTTCAGCACAAATCTTTATGAATGAACTCTGCTGCAATCACTGCAAGTTAACACAGCATAGCTTCTGCTTATGAAGGATTGCATCAGTAGAAGGGAATTAAAAGTAAATTAAGAGCTGTCCTGGGTTGTCAGGATGGGTTAATAGATGTTTGTTCCCATGCCTGCTCTTGAACAGCTCTCCAGAGGTGAGCATCTGTCTCGCAGGGTGGAATAGCAGAGCAATTCACACTTCTCCTTAAAGATGGAGGTTGTTGGCTGTGTGTTACCTTTAGACTTTACTTTTTGTTTGGTCCCTCAGACTGATTTATTGATTTTGGTGCACACTGCAGAGTTTCACAACTGTTTCTTAAAGGAAAATGACATACTTGAACAGTTTTATATAATCAGTAAACAATTTAAACATCACTTTCATCTCAGGATTTGGGTTTTATTTCAGTGATGAATATTGTGCATATTGAGC